ACGTAAAACATCTTTTCTATTATTTGTATAACATGTAATCTAGGAAGCTGGATAAGTTACTGATTCTACTTCAAAGAATAGAAATTCTCTCTTGATTGGGACTGTTTTTGTTTCTTTATTTTGTGAGGGCCTTTTCTGAAATAACTTCTATCTAAATGCAGTTCATTAATGTGTGCCCCTCAGCCCCTCCTTTGCAAGTCTTCTCTAACTGTGACTGGAGCTTTTAGGATTAATTTTCGTTAAGTGACCTACTTTGCCCAGGAAGATAATCATGCATTTATAGCCTCTGGCACTCTATTCAGGTCACAGATGGACAGATAGCAAAGCCATTCCTCAGTGACTTGCTGCAGTTGTAGCTAATGGCCAGTGGGAATGACGACAGGCTCCATGTTAAGTGGTCAGAATGCCTAAAAATATGGGAAATCACTGAATTCTCCTTTACCTTTAAGAGGCTGCCACAGTTAAGTCATAGGATGCCAGCAAGCAGTTGGTCTAAGAGTGTTTTTCATTAGTGATTGAAGTACTCTCACAGGTGTTAAATATCTAAATATATATATATATATTTTTTGAATCCTTTGCCTTGGAAATGGAGCACCATACAGTGTTCAGACTAAACACATTCGATATTTAATCCCTACTAAATGCCATGATCTATGGCAAAGATCTGAGATTTTGGGAGGCTTTCCCAAAATTTTTTGGGAGCTTGGGAGGTGAGCTCTTGCTCGCTAGCAAGTTAGGATCCTCTATGTATAGGTGGTATTCTAAAGGTAACTTTACAAGCTATCGACATGACCTAAACCTCTGGAATGGAAGCATTTTTTGGTAAACCATTATCAGTTAGTTCAATAAAACTTGTATTTTGCTGTTCTCTCTCACAAGTTCCTTTTCTCTCTTCTATTTGTCTTACTATAATGTATTGTGCCTGTGTGAAAAGCAACTTGCTACTTATTTTCAGACATTCAGAAGTTTCACGAAGGAAATGGCCAGGCTTTGTATTACGTTTTGATGTATTTTTTTAAAAAAGCAGTAGAATTTTCATGCTTGGAAACAGGCAAGAAGCAGAAGTGCTAAGAAAGTTTCTACTTTGAAAGACATCTGGAAATCTGAAGCACATGAGGCAGCCAGTGACGTTGCTTTTGGCGAGTCTGAAGAAATAAGTATTAAAATTGTGATGTTGCCAGCGAAGAAGTGCACTATTTTCAAAACAAAGTATAGTTTGAACTCTTATGCTTCAGGATTCAAAATGTATGTGTCCTCGTGTCTCTTATTTATACATACAGCTCTGCTTTTTGCCCCGTGGTGTAAACCTGAAAGGTGTCCTGGTAGAAATTGTGTTGCAGTTTGGATCACTTTGATTACTGAGTAAATCACTTTAAGACAAATAATCTCACAACACATTAAGGATGGTTGTTTGTCAATTAGATAGTTCGTTGCCACTTTTAAGACAATCTGACAGAACTCCCTATTTCTTGTGGCAAAATCTAATGCTTTGAAGGTAAAGTGGATTCCTGTTAATAAAAAGCTTTTGCTTTTAGTAAAAGTAATTTCCTTTTAAGAAAAACCTTTCAAATGTGAATTAAGCAAAAGCAAAAGTCCCCAGGAACTGTAATGCAGCCATGTCATGATCAAAATCCTAGCCCATAGGATGGTGGTTGTGGGCTCTCTAAATTCTCCACGCCTGTGTTTTCAGTTTCTGAATTTGTGCAGTTCTTGCTCTGGGTGTTAGCCCTGGTATTTTCATGCCTGAAGGAGAACTCATTTTACCAAAAGCATGGGTTTCTGGGGCTGCCTGAAAATTTGAACCAGCTTGGCACTGTCTGTAGGGGTAGGCATAAATGCAGATGCTTTCTGCATGGCTTAAGAACAGCCTGCTGTAGGTGTCCTTTTTACCTGTTCCAAAACTAATTTAAATCAAAGTATGACCAGTTTTAACCAAAAGAATCCATGAAGCAAAACTTAGGGTTTTTTTTTTTCTTTTTAAACTTTATCTGGAATAGTTGTGGACAGATTAAAATAAAGCATCCCAGCACTGTTACTTTCTGTGCACAATCTTGCCTTTGAGGGACGTTTTCTGTCAACTGAGTGTGTGCCATGAGTTAAGATAAACCCCATATTTTGTGTGACAGTACTTGGAGGGTGCCATTCCACAGGCCCTTTCTTCCTGCAGTACTTAGTGTCTGTAAATAGGATTTGTTTTACATGTAACTAGGTCATATTGGTGTCTTTTTAGACATTCTTACTCTTTACTTCATGGTGCTGACCCCTGGCTTTACCCACCGGCACAGCTTTTCTAAGTTTTAAGTGTTTTCTGTGTTTTCAAATAGAGAGTGGAAGAAGGTATTAAGCAATAATTTTGTTGTTACAAGAAGTAGCTACAACTGTAGAGAAATTATTGGAAAAAAAAGTAAATCAGTACTAGAATTGAATAAAAGTTATTTCAACCGCATTTGGATTTTGTCTTGCATAGAAATGCAAAGCTTCCAAGTCTTTAGTACTTTGTATAGTATTCATCCCATAGTTATATGGGTTTGGGAGAATGCGGGATGATACAAGAAAAGTTTGGGTAGTATGTATTTTCAGGTAGAATGCAAGATTTAAGTACATATTTTTATATTTGTGGTACAATCTATGGAACGTAGGATAGGAATTATAGAAAAAACAAGATGTTATGCACAAATAACATGTGCATTGCAACAGATGTGCTTGTGCCCACTGTATTGATTTCTTGGGGATACAAGTAAGCTTGAGAAATTAAACAAGTAGAATCCAATGGAAAATGGCCAGTTTAAAAATAAACATCTCCAAAGACAACTTCAGAGTTTTAGATATGGGTAACTGTAGCAGTAATATTTAATGTGGACATTGTAGTATAGAAGCAATAACTTAAGGGCACAAGAGTGTTTTTGTCAGGGTAGGAAGGACAGTGGCAAAAAGTAAAGGTGAAAAGCACAAGGAATCCAACTTACATTCTTATTAAGCAACAGCTAGAGATCTGGCTTCTGCAAGCTTCATTACTTATGCGTTTACCTTGTATCACTGTGGGCATATAAATTATTACATTGAAAAAATCCATTCACTACTCTTTTTGCATGTTAAATTACAATATTAAATGATCAAAGGGTTTTCAGCCAGTAACTCTCCTGGATACAAATCTGCTATGTTACATAAATATAAAATCTGCTCATTACATAAATATAAAACTTTCTACGTGTCATTCTTCAGTGAGGAAAGATGGGTCGCAAGGCAAGTTTGGTAAATGTGTGCCTGTCCCCCCCACACAGTTAGCGACTAGTGCTGCCACTGCAGGGCTACTGAGTGCAAGTAGCCACTTGCAGGAAACAGCTGGTGTGGATGTTTGTTTGCAGGATGAGTACCACAGGGAGGACACGTGAGTATGATTTTCTTTAGCTTGCTTTTTTACATTATTTGTTGGAAGTAAATGTGATCAGAGAAACATAAATGCAGACAGTGTTACAGAAAGTAGTCCTTACCTTCTGTAATGTATTAGTCAGTGTGTCCTGATGAAGTAGGCTTATCATTATTGTAATTTTGTCATTTAAGTTTTAAAATTTCCAGTGGTGAGCTTCTGATGAGTTGAATAGATCATGAAATGCTACAGGAGTTAAAAACAAAAATAAAACAAACCCTCACTTGTACTGCAAGGGTAAGAAGTATGTGTTTGGGAGGAGATGCAGGAACACAGCAGAATCAGGTCTCATATTTTAGTAGAACAGTGGATGTGATCTGAGTTGGTAATGATTATTCCATAATGGCTGGTTAGATTTGGATGCCTAAGGATCTTGTATGGGAATCTTTTTGAAATATGCGGTTGTAGGATGGGCTGTGTGGATGCATGAAGTCAAAAAAAGGAAAGTTGGTGGGTAAAATGGTGACAGAATGATTGATTAGCTGTTAATGTGTAGAGTTTAAATTACATATTGTAAACATATATACAAAATAATGTTCATATGCAAAATATTTTTTGTCGGAGTTAGAAATCATCATTTTTGGATGATGCCTTCATTAGTGATCTAATTAGACAAAAGAAATGATTTTCTGTATGTGTTTTCCAGGTAGGTGTACACCTCATTCTTTTGGCCCTATACAAGTAAACATTGCTAATCTATTTGTGCACTAATATATTCACCTGATGTGTTTGAGATGTCTTTGCTTTGCTTATTGTGTGCAAAGTACAGACTGGATGATGAGAGGCTAACTAGCTGTGAAAATTAAAGCCACTTCTTTGCTAAGGGAATAAACTCTTCCTGCAAAGGCTACTCCAGTAAGCTCCAAGCTCAGCTCCGTCTTTGCAATAAAGCAGTGTTAGCTCTGTGCCCCTTAATCTTTAGTCTCTCTCTTTGCTGATTTTGCTGAAGAAAGGCATATTAACAGTGATGGTTTTATGGTAGTGAAATTCAAGGTCTTTGAATTTGTAAGTACAAATTAAGTATGGTATTTAATAAAGAAAGTATATTTGCAGGCATAAAAGGCTGCATTAAGGCAAATAAGCTGTAGTTCTAAAGCACTACATTTGTTCTTTTAAATCAGGTTGGTGACAAATCCTTTTCCAGAATATATTTCATAGAGTCATAGATAAAAAAAAAAAAAAAGTGTTAGCACTCCATGTATATATGTATATAATATGTATAAATGGTGAGTAATCATTTACATATTCTAGAATTAGATGCTGTTGCTTTTGGGAAGCTGCTGTGAATTTCAATATCCATAGCATCTTTTAAAATAAAGTGCAACATTGAACTGGGAGGTTATAGTTTATTTTGCCAAAAAGATATCCCTATATTAAGAATTCTCTTGATTAGTATTTTCTGAATTTCAAGTTTTCATGATTTTTGAGCACTTGGATTCTCTTTTGAACTTTCAGTTAAGGAATTTTTGCTTGCTCTTACTCCTGAATATTTCAGGGAAAAAAATTACAAGATAAAGAAAAAAAGCACAAAGAGTTTTTCAGGGTTCTGACTGTTCTCTTTTGCTCTGTGCAGTTCGACAATCAGCAAGCATTGGGAGGCAGAACTGGCCACGCTCAAGGGTAATAATGCTAAGCTCACAGCAGCCCTGCTGGAGTCCACTGCCAATGTCAAACAATGGAAGCAACAGCTTGCTGCGTATCAGGAGGAAGCAGAACGTCTTCATAAGCGGGTAAGTAGAGACAAATAGCCAGGATCTTTAAAGATCAGGACATGGAGATGCTGGTAACTGCATTTGCTCATTTTGGAGCAAACCAAGTAAGCTTAATGTTGGGGCTTTAAGTGAATCTTTGAGACAGAAATTAATGATCACTTTAACATACACAGAATTCTCATGCAAAGTGCATGGGCAAATGCACCCAAATGTGCTGACGCTCCTTTGAGATGTCACTATTCTCTGTGGATACCTGTCACCCCTTAGCGCACTCAGATCCTCTTGTGAATATCCTTTCTTCCAAATGACACAGAGGACTTAGAAACTCATCTCCGTACCAAGGATCCAGCCTGGAGCCTGATGACTAGGTAAGCTGGAAGAAAAGCTTGCACAGAACAAAATCAAGGGTGAATGGAAGAGCTCTGCTCATTTCCCAAGCTGTGTATTTTTACTACAAAATCTCCAGCTGCAGGTTCAGAGTAGCTGGAGCTGGGATGTCCCTTGGAGGTGGAAAGGAGCTCTTGAAGGCATATTCCTCAGTTAAGAAATACTCTTTCTTTTAAGTAGTTTCTTTCCTGCAGAGGTTTTTGTTGCAGGAGAAGTTTTATATGCCGTGATACTTAGGACACATTGACTAGCTGATCTCTCTTCATTTTGTGGGAGCTCCATCACATCTGCCTTACAACCTTCCTCCCTTTTGCATTTTAGTGCACAGAAACTTCACCTCAGATCTGTAAGTTAAAGGAACCATATTCAAGCTTCCACACATATCAAAGACTACCACCTTCCTTTCATTCTTGCTCCTAAAGAAAAACATAGAATCGAGTTCATCATATGCTATTGAAGATCTGCTCCTGCATGCATACAGGAGGGGCTGGGTCCCATTCCCTTCACTGTCATATAGCAGACCAGGAATCATTATAAAAACAAGTATATGATTTTTTTTTTCTCTTGTAATTGTTTATATATTGGTAGAATTTATCCACTGTTATCCGTATCAATTGGTCATCGTGGCTTAGGACTTTGTTAGTAGTCACAGAGACAGGAATTTTAGGGATCTGAGAATGAGACATTCAGTGGATTGCATCTACCTGAAGGCTGGAAAGAGTAGCAAGAATTCCCTTGAGCCTGGAGAAGAGGGGAAATGTCAGGGGGTTAGGGCTGTCCTATACCTAACAGACTTGAAGACAAGGATCTTGAAGCCCCAGCCAGATGAGTTGATAGGGAGGAATGACAGTTTCTGATGGGCCCTAACTGCATGTGTGATATCTGCCTGAAATGCATAAAGTGGAATTAAGAGTGATGGGTTTTGCAAAGTGCTTTCATTTCAAGAAACTGGCAGCTGCTGACAGAACTGTTCTTGTTCAGAAAATTCCCAGCAAGATGCAGGCTTGTCATGTGTGTTTGTATAAAGAGAAATTTTCACTTTGCTACAACATTTGAATTTATCCTTTGAAAGGGTGGATATTCTAATCATGTGAATAGATGATAGTGCTGTCCTTTGTAGATAAGACTGATTAAATTATAGCCTACTAATTAATATAGTGCACAAGATTGGATAGGTTTGACCTCCAGTAGAAATTTTCTGGTAAAACTCAAGTGCAGACCTAGTGAGATAGCATTCTTCATAATAAAATCTATTCACAGCTTTTGTTGCAAAGACAAGATAGGCAAGGCAGTACAGTGCAAGATCTTTTATGTGATGATACAGGCACTCTTAGTTTTGTCTTATTTAAAATCTGTTATTGGAAAATAGAGTTAATGAATATAGGTAGATTTAGAATGAGATTCTCCTCATACCTCATAGTGCAGTTAACAGCACTAAGACTTTCTGTCTGTGTGCATTCATAACTTGCACAACCTTTGTCTAGCTAGTTTCCTGCAATCATCTATTATGTATTTCTGATGAAACACAAAATCCTAACATGGAATCATCTGTGTTTTGCTGTTATAGCCATCTTTTACATGCTTGTGTTAAATCTTTCACTTACTGAATTGTCACATATGATCTAGTAAAGCTCTGTGCCTATGAATCTCTGTGCATGGCTGTAAATTACTACAGGATAGTTGATCAAGAGCACTGTCCTCTATTGGGATTGATTTTAGAAAAAAAGATGGACTTGGCTAACCCAGTAAGTCAAACTCTTTAGGCAAGAGTTTGCAGATCATATTAAAAAAAATCAATCTCACTCTGTTATCCATATAATGGAATACTGATCTAACCCAAGGCTGATCTTTCAAATGTGAAATATTACTTGATTTTAACAAGAAACTGCAAGTCAGATACTTCTCTGTTACACAGGCAGAAAATGTGCTTTTAATAGGGCAGAGGTGGAGACTTCTAACTATGGTGTATGTGGTAGGAAGGAGTGCCAGGTTCCTGTGTGCTTATACTTGTATTACCATTTTCATGAGAAAAAGTTTTTAGAAATACTCTTAGGAACATTGGCTTAAAGAAGACATGGAAGTTTAAAATTAGTTTGCCTGGTGAAATGTAATGTTTCTAGGCAAAAGCTGACTCTCCCAGGAGAGGAATAACGCATGTATCCATGTGTTAGAGTGGAATGCTTGCTTGGTAAAGGCACAGTTGTACAAAGCAGACCAGCCTCCGAAAGAAAGAGTAGGCCGTCCACCACTATTTGCTATGCTAAGTTCAAGTTAATAATATAGTACGTGATTTGTATATAATGTATTTGTGAAATTCACTCCTTATGTGCTTTAGAGGTGTGTGTGTGTGTGTGTATAGTATACATACACATGTAGATATATACATTTTTTTTATATATATATATATATATTAAAAAAAAAAGCTTTGGTGCCTGAGTCATCTTATCTGCAAGCTACTGCAGGCTTACATTCTCTATGTCAGATGTGGTGTGTGTGGGGGAATACGTAATGATTAGTAAATTTTATCTTTTAAAAAAAAAAAAACTTTAGATTCCTCTTTGTTTAATTGTCTTATGAAATAACCTTATTTGTATAGCTTCTTGTTTATATAAATATAGAAATAAATTTCTAATTGTTAATTATTTTTGTTAGTTGACTTATGTACTCTTTTCTGCAATTTTAATTTAGTCATGTCATATTTATAAATGTACCTTGATTTTACAGTTATTATTCTATTTTCCATTGTTCTCATTTACTGTCTTTTGAGCCACATAGTACTTAGTGTAGTCTTTGCTTTTAAAGATATTTTAAATTATTTTTAATCCAACCTTTTTTATTCAATAATTGTTCCAAATTTGACTGTAATAGTTTTTCTCTATGCCACATTATTTATATTTTTTCATCTTTTAAAGCACAGAAGCAAAGCTAAAATGCTTCTCTCTGGACGTTTTTATTGCATATTTTAAATTAATTTAATTTATTATCTGCTATTTCTGATTAAGTAAAAGATTTCCTCATCTATCATTTCAGTTATTCCCATTAACCTGCATTAGTTGCTATCTCTTGTGCCTTTGTCTTCCTGCTCCTATTTGTTCTCTGTATTAGTAGTGCTTAAAGATGAGAAGAAATAGAATACAGACTCAGGGTGGCTGAGTGCAGAGCTCTCAATAAATTAAAGCTTTGTGCTTTCTTTTGATATACTGTGAGCTCAAGTCACAAATACTGCACTTTCTTAATTTGTCGTATATTGTATTTTCCAAAATTTACTACCCTAATATATGCGTTTTCCCCTCTAAAAAAGAGAAAGATAATAATTTTAGGAAGATACCATGCCAGTCAAGAGCCTAACTTAGAGCTGGAAGCCTTCTCCCCACCGATCTGCTCAGAGACAGTTTAACAACAAGGATTTCCCTTAAATGGGCTTGGGAAGGCCTCCTACACACCCTCCATAGCTTTTTGAAATCAAAAGGGATTCGTGAGTTTGGAACAGCTCAGTAACAGATATAAAAAAGCTGAAGTGAGCTACTTTAGACAAATTTAATAGCTTCTGTACTAACATTAATCCTGATATTGTGGAAAGGAAAGGATTGAATGGTGATATGAATTATGCAAAGTAACCCAAAGTTTCATCTCTGTCATGTAAAAAAAGAAAACTCTGCATTTTTTCTTGCATGCTAACTGTTAAAGTAAATCATCCTATGACACTGGGCAATAGCACAGATTAATAACGCCAGTGGATAATAAAGAGCTGCAGGCCTTGAAGATGATTCATCTGCAGGAAAAGAAGCCTGAGATAAGAAGAGATGAAGGCAAATGATCCAGCTCTTGGGTATTCCTAAAAGTATAGAGAGGTAACTCTTGAATTCTAGCTCGTTATTTTATGATTTCCTAGGAAATAAGACAAAATTAGGCTATTATGTTCTGATTCCTCATCCATCTGTTTCATTCCTGAATAAAACAAAAATCATGCCATCTTAGGTGGTCATAAAAAAAGAAAAAGAAATAGCCCTGATTTCACTTCTCTTAAAAAGTTTTGAAGTGAATATTAAAGAAAGTATGTGCATAAAGAAATAAAAGCACAGTTATTTTCCTGGTCTACTTAAAGAAAACAAATATCTTTAAAGGCAGTTAGCAAAGTCCAAGGAGTTATGGAACCCATCTGCTCAGATTTTCCCAAAATGCTGTAGAAGATCTTTTAAAGATCTTTTGAAGGTTGGAGATCCCTTAGCACTAACCTCCATGCTTCCAATATCTGAAGTAGTAACAGAAGAACAAAGACCCAACGTTGGACAGGCCGATGTGTGATAAGACGGCTTGCTGAAACACAGCCATGTTGTGGGCTTCTTACATGCTGAGAAGTCCACGCTATTGAATAACTTATTAGCACTTCTGTGGCAGTTGTGTGAATAAGTGTTCATTGGAGCCCGTGTTTCAGTTTGGTCTTATATCACTGAGGAAAGTTAAGAAACTTCCTTCCTAAACTATATTAATTAGCAGGTAGCTAGATAGTAGCTTAGTACTGTTTGTTTATAAAGAAAATAGATAGGCTCTCTGTAGGGTAAACATTGTTAATTTGTCAATTTAATGTCAAAAGAGTGGGATTGTTGTTTGCTAGTATTTGTCTATGCATT